AAGGGCCCCCTGTGGGGGCCCTTCCACAACCTCAATGAATTATTATCACGAAGAGTATCCTTGATGGGTATTTCCCGACGAAAACTTCACTTTTCCTCCAATTGATAAAAATTACCCTTTTATAGTAGCCCGGAAATGATACTCCAACTGTGGCGGGTCCAGGGAGTCGAAATATAGGGGACCCAGGGACGGTCTTGCGCAAATGGAGTGTCCACCCACCTCAGCCCCACAATGGTAGTAGCTGCGGTAAGAATTTATCATGGCACCTCTAGATGGCCGGAAATGGCACTTACAGATTAAAAGTTAATACAATTTTTCTGTTTTCTCCATTTCTGTTATAATCTTGAAAAAATATGAGGTTAGGGGCCGTGCTGACTGGGTTCACCCTTGAATCCACCACTTGACATGACAGTGTGTACTCTAAATTTGTCAGATGGAAAAATCTTAGCCTATAGCCTATCACTTTGTTTCACAAATGACTAATTCCTAAAGTCAAGTGAAAGATTTTTTTATTCGAAAGATTTTTTTTATTTAATACAATTTTTACAACCTATAACACATTAACCACAGTCTACTATAAATTTTCTAGTTAACTTTCAGAGAACTTAATTTTAATAAATGGCCTAATTAGTATCTTATTGTTTTCATTAAATTAGATGGAAGGGGGCCCCCACCACCGCTTCCGCCGTCGTTGCGTTTAATATTACTAATATGACATCACAATGCTTATATGGGCACATCACACAAATTTGTCACATAAGAGTTTACAATGTGACGGAGCCTTACCTGTTTCACATCGATCGCCAGCAAAATCACTGTGACAGTTACAAATGAATGACACTTTGTCAGCAGCCACGCTACATGTTCCTCCATTCAAACAAAATAACGCTGGGCACTCCAGTTCTAAGGAGAAATATATGAACAATAAACAAATCAATTGTACCTAATATTCACTATTATTATAAAATCTCACTGGTATTGGTACTGATACAGCACCAATATCAGTATCAGTACCAATATCATTACCAGAAGCAGTACAAGTATGAGTACATTTACCAGTATCAAATTTAACATTAGGCCTATTATTATCAGTAATAGTATCTGTACCAATACCAGTACAAGTATGAGTACATTCACAATCGATATAGGTGCCAACCAATATCAGTTTAACATCAGTATCCCTATTAGAGTCAATAAAGTACCAGTATCGTCATCAATAGTAGTATCAGTATGAGCACAATTTCCAGTACCAGTAATAGTATAAATATCAGTATCAATATTAGCATCAGTATATTACGTACCAGTACCAGTATCAATATCAATAGTACTATCAGTATCAATATAGTATCAATCATTATTAATAATATAAAAAATAATGTTAAATAGATGCAACAATAATTACTATTATTAGTACTAGGCCTAAAGCTTAAATAAGTTTTTACCTTAAATTTAATTTTTTCATTTAAATCGATAATAATAATAATAATAATAATAATAATAATAATAATAATAATAATAACAAAAATAATAATAATATTGCATTATTTGATTGGTATTTCTTACTTGTCTCACACATGTCGCCTGTATAGTCTTGGGGGCATTGACATGTATATGTTCCGTCTCCATTGGCAGTACATATTCCTCCGTTTTGACAGTAATTATCTGGACATGGATCTACACCGTCTGTAAAAATCCACCAAATCCATCCATTTTTAAATACAGTACTGAAATTTATATTTTATATTTGATGTTTTTGATGTTACTGTGTTTCCCTTATCGGTGAAAAAAAAAACACAACAAAGCAATTAAGTTTTACTTTTGTTCGTGTTTTTGTAATTGTTTGTTTAAATGTATTATGATACTGAGATTGACAAAATGAATTTAATGAAATATACATCTCTATATTTAGCATTATCGACAGGCTTCCATAGGCATGTAACCTATCCATATACCATAACCTAATTTTAAGTCATGACTCAGATATTCATTCTGCTGTAACTGTCTTAGCACTGGAATCTGGAACAATATACAAGGCTTTAATTGCATTTATTTTGATTTCATCATAAATGTATTGTATTTGCATTGCAAATTATTGTTACAATTTAGTTTCATTTATATTTTAATTGAAACAAAATTAGAATGTCTCATTGTATGACTAACATGCCAACCCCCCTCCCCCTCCATTATTGGGACAATTTCGTGTTGCTGGTTATGTCCCCTTAATAGGAGTACAATTAATGGAACACCCCTATTAAAGAGAAAACCCTATTAAGAGGACACCATTTTTGGCCCCAAAACATTGTCCCCTTATTAGGGTTATACTTTAGTCAGTTATCAGTCAGTCGAAAGCGTAATGTACCTCAACTTGTGTGTTTGTGAGACATGTGCATAATCCTGGTCCTAACAGTAACATGTTCTGTTTGCTCAGTTGTTAAGTTTGACACTCTGGGAAAGGTCAATTATAAGACGGGGATACCGAAGGATGAACAGTTTCGAAGAGGAACAATTTAATTATACGACGAAAATGTAAAAACCATACACGAATGAATTTATTACCGATAACGATATTATGTGCATGATCATATTAATTTTGTTTTAAGCAAAATTTTTGTTAAAAATAAATTTAATCCTATCTTATCTTGTATCCAATCATGCTTGGCTGGTTTTTGATTTACGTTTCGGAACAAAATTTAGAGGGCGTTCAAAAATTCAGAACTAGCCTACGTTTCGAAAAAAAAATTTAGAGGGCGTCCGATAAAATCAGAACTACGTTTTGAAAAAAAAAATAGAACTACATTTTGAGAGACTAGAACTACATTTAAGAAAATTAAAACTACGTTTTAAAAAATTTGACCTTCGTTTTGAGAAAGTAGATCTACATTTTGGGAAATTACATCTACATTTTAAGAGATTAGACATTGATTTTTGCAATTACACATTTGATTTTAACAATAGTTTGCTGCGTATGGCACCCCATATAGTTGTTGTTGTAAAATGAATTCAAACCAGTCATGCTTGGCTGGTTTTTGAATTACGTTTTGGAACAGAATTTGGAGAGGGCGTTTGATCAAGTCAGACCTACGTTTTGAATTTGAATTACATTTTAAAGAATTAGAACTACATTTTGTAAAATTTGAACTACGTTTTAAAAAAATTAGAACTTCATTTTGGGAAACTAGATCTACATTTTGAGAAATTTACACCTAAATTTTGATAAATTAGACATTGAATTTTGCAATTACATTTTTATTTTAACATGGGCTTTTGCTGCGTATGGCACCACATAGTATTGGCCAAAATTGCGTCATAGATGGCACGCTACAAGGAGAACTTAACGTTCTCGTATGCGCAGATGACTTTTAGTGACGTCATTAGGTTCTATGCCCTACCGTCGTTGTGTAATCAAAAGCTCCATTTTACCTCGAATTTCACAAAGTTGGCCACTGAATCCAGAGGCGCATACACACAAGATTGAACCAGGTTGTTGACCGTTATAGCACTGCATAGCATTATTCAGACAAGGATTGCTAGAGCATGGATCTAAAACCAGATGATAAAAAAACATTTAAATTATTGAGAATATTCAATCATATTACTATTGCGTATCTTTTAATGTAGATAGATAGATAACTTTATTGTCCTTCTCATAAAAATACAAAAGGAAATTTATCTTCCATTGGGAAATGCTTAATAAAATGAATTACACAAGTGCAAAATGACGCCAAAATTTCATCAAAAGACAATAGCAAAAATATACAATTACATCAAAAATTTAGTATAAAAAAAGGTTATTCATTAATATGTACATTAAAAGATATTATAATAATTATTACATTTGCAAAAAATCAGTAATTTAATTACAAAATAGAAAAATTATAAAAATAGGTCATTTATTAATGTGTAGTGCAATTGCTAATATACAATAATTCAATTAGGCCTATAAATTACGACTAAAATTCATTATATTAATGCAAAATAGAAAAATAGATCAAAGATTTAGTCTAAAAATAAGTCATTCATTAATATGTGCAGTATATACTGTAAAAGTAGGCCTATATTACTTTCTTTTTCTTTTCTTTCTTTATTAAGTTTTTTCCACACATAATGTAACAATCAAATGAATAATAAGCAGTTTTTTAAAAAAGAAACAATACAATGAATAATTCACTAAAGAGCTGTTTTCTCACAATTTCTAAGCTCATGCTAATCACATTTAGTCAAATTGTATTAGGCCTACACATTTATATTAGCCTTTGTGGTATCCATCAATGATAGTATTAATTTAAAATTTAAAAACAGTGACGTCATACAGTAAGTAAACACGATGTCTGGATTTCAAAGAAATCATTTATTAAGAATAAATAACAGCATGCAGTAACTGTGCATCCATTCTAAGACATTAGGCATTTAATGTATTATTTTTTAATTTCCCTTTAGAATAGAGAAATTTTTAGTGCCTGTCTTTAAATATAGGGATTCTATTATAGATACAAAGGATGCATGGTTTTGGCAGACCAAACTGACTATTTTCCACTTCAAATAAAGACTAATTTTAAAATTAAAATATTGTAACGATAGTGAAGATGTTTATACAGTGATCCATATTGAATACCGATTGTGTTAGTAGGACGTTGATGTTTGCATTTTTAACGAGTGCAGGACTGAGCTACCAAGAAATGGTTTATTATTAGAAATCAGTAACAGCAGAGTAATCCATTTTAAGCTTTTAGAACCAAGATATTCAAACAAACATTTATCATATCATTTTCGCATACTCAGACGAAACTAAAAATTTGCTCTTCAAATAAAGAACACACAACTATGAACAGATCAGGATGAATTTGACAAACTACCGTCAAAACAAAGCGGTTCAAAAATTCATTCATACCACACGCATATCAGCTCTACAATAATAACTTCTCCAGATAATCTCACTCTCACTGTCTTAGGTTAGGTACCGTAGTTCTTTTGAAGTCCATTTCACTTTCTTTCTATTGTTTAGTTAAAATTCGTATCGTATTTTGTGTAAAAAAAAGTTATGATGCTGATATGCATACACTTCAAAATTATACACAACAAAGATAATGTTTATGCATAACATGAATATATTAATATAGTTTTATTAGGACGATGTTGTTAGTAATATTGTAATGGCGAATTTCTGTAGAACGGGTGCAGGGCTTGATGTGTGATTACCCAGAAATGGTCTATTCAGAATCAATAACAGCAACTTTCTTTCTATTGTTTAGTTAAAATTCGTATCGTATTTTGTGTAAAAAAAAAGTTATGATGCTGATATGCATACACTTCAAAATTATACACAACAAAGATAATGTTTATGCATAACATGAATATATTAATATAGTTTTATTAGGACGATGTTGTTAGTAATATTGTAATGGCGATTTCTGTAGAACGGGTGCTTACCCAGAAATGGTCTATTCAGAATCAATAACAGCATACAGTAACTCTAAATCCATTCTAAAGCACTTGAATAAACGATCTTACAATTACTATAATCATTACTGACTTTACTTTACTTAAATAGTTACATTTAACTACCACTTTTAGTGCTGGTCTTTAATTAGAAGGATTCTAAATAGAGAATAAAGTTGCTAAAGACCACCGAAACCCCGGTACTAAAAGTTGTCTTTAATTGGAAGGAGACCTGTATTAATTACGTTATTGTTACGCTAGAGACTATTCCGCCCTTTGGATTGTTTGCTAGGTCCACAAAGCGACAGCGTAAACGTACATTGTCCGTTTATGGAAAGTGCTCGTGTTTTGACCCTAGGTTTGTTGTCAGATTTGAACTATCGGTCAGTAACATAGGACTCATTGCTTTTCAATCGATATTTAAGTGCAGCAGGATATTTACCTGACAGAAATTCGCAATCTTCGCCAACATATCCTGGCTCACACGTGCAGATTAAGGTGTTTTCACTCTCAGTACAGAATCCGCCGTTCATACAATTACGGTTACTGGAAACACAACTTCCTGTAAAGATGGGAGAGATACCTTAATGAGTGGCGTTAAAAAATCAGTTTCTATAAAGCCGGGCACTTACTGCGTCGTACGATCAGCCGACGAAGCCAATTCTAGGCTACTCCCTGTGAGCTCTAGGCGACGCGACGCGGTCTGCTGATTGTCAGTGGCAGTCTGAACGGGTCGTCATTAAAAACGGTCCGTGCGTCGTGGGTTTGCGTTCTCCACATGTCCGTAGCGTGCCTAAAATTGTGGGAAATTCGTTTCAGTGGAAAGTGGACCCTTATCTCCGATACTCTGGGGAGCATTGTAAATATATCTACCAATATCAATTTTTCGCTTTTAAATGCGGACCTTCTCCAATTTTTGGGCGGTTCGTCGTAACCCCTTTAATACCCCCACCCCCACGCTACGGGCCTGCTCTATATAATCGCGTCGGCCTACGACCGTCGGGCGCAGTGAGTACCCAGCATACACAAAGCTTTTCACAAAAAAAAAAAAAAAAAAAATTCTTTCTTGTCCCTCAAGGGCCTACGTAATGTAGGCCCTAGTGAGATTAAGCACATGATACCAATTTGTTAATGCGTTAACATCACTTATATCCTATATATATCTTATATAAGGAATGCATAATCCTGTATCTTGCTGAGTGTAACTGTCACATTTCGAGCGTGATTATTAACTCATTTCAAACATTCCCTAACACCACATACCTCCATCACAAAAAGTGCCACTGTAGCCAGGTTGGCACATGCAGTGGTAGCCATTACTTTGGTCATAAGGAACACACGTTGCTCGATTCATGCACATATTGTTATGACAATGATCTGTATTGGAAAAACACACACAATTTGAAACATAATTTTAAACTTATACGTGTACATGTGCAAGCTCTGCAAACAATATAAATGTATGTAATCAATTAATAGTTTTTAATGAACTAAAGAGTGAAAAGTGTGTAGATTAGAAGTAATATATATATACTGTCTCTTATACACATC